AACATGATCCAACTAAAATTTCATTAAGACTCAAAGTTTACTCCAAACTTTAAACTCCTGATTATTATTTTTTTTTCTTGGAAAGAACTTTTGAATACTTAGTAGCATGTTAACTCTGTCATTCACTCATAACTTTGCTCCAAAAAAATTTAAGCCAAAAACAATGGACAGAAAAACAAAAGCATTTACAGGAAAATTACCCTGTTCATCTCCTTCCAGGATCCCATTTTCAAGCAAAGAAGCACCCCCTACAGAAAGCCTTGTGTGCAAAGATTTGGTACTAAAAAATTGTACACGGGGGAAATCATGTCCGTAAGTGCAGTTCGTAACGCGGAAAGTAACAAGGACCTCGTTGTGGATAATCCCAAGCCAAATTTATTAGCAAAATAATCTAAACTCCCATCCTTCTATTATACCATTGCAAGCCTAAATGTACAGCACGTACACATTCTAAACAGAATATTTTTTACAAATCAAATGTTCCTGGACCTATCGAACTGTAGCTCCAAGACGGTATTAGCGTTTTAATGAAAGCATTCCCACATTTTCTCATTCGACAATTCGGATAAAACTCAAATTTCTGAAACATACAAACCTGTACTAATGTACAACAACAATGAAATGTGGAACGATGGACAAAATCACGTTTCGAACTACGCACTTTAGCTTTCGATCCACTAGCTGCAAGACAATTTACACACCAGGACAATGGCTAAGAGTAATTCTTTACCTTCTTTATAATTTTCCTTTGTACCGAGTGACACGAGATTAAGTTGAACCAAGCGTAAGTGTATTTTTCTCCCATAAACAGTGTACACATGCGGAGATTAAGGACCTCTGATATAACAAAGTACACGCTAAGTCATATTAACAAAACAAAGCCCAAAATGGCTGTCCCTCTACTTTTTTTGGTTGAATCGGTGATAAGAAACTTGATCTAAACAACAAAAACATTTTGGATAGCATTGTAATACGCTCTTCGATCAACAGTCGAATGTTATCGAATGTTAGATTCACAATCAAAGTCGAATCTTGACACAAAAACGGGATACACATTTAACAAAATTGTCGCTTCCGTGCAACTCAGTACAAGCTAATTTATATACCAAAACAAAGGCCAATAATTTTTCCACCCCTTTATAATTTCTTTTTGTACCGAATTGCACGGAACATGCAGTTAACAAAAATAGCGAAAATTACCCACCTTTTCGGCATTTCTTCCACATGCAAACCAGCAATCTCAACGTCAATAACACTGAATCAGACCATGCCAATGCGATTTTTCGCCAGTTTCAGGACGCTATATTCTCTAGAGAACACACTTACGTCAAAACGTTGACCAAAATAATTTTTGACCTCTTACAGTGGCAAGAAATTGCAAAGCTGTCACTGCCAAAAAAAGCTGCCATCGCTTCTGTCATCAGAACAACATTTCGCGAGCATTTTCGTCTCGGAGCCAGTAACATTACCCCAAATCGATCACGTGTCATTTTTGCAGAGCATGCGTAGACATTTTTCGCCGATGAAACCTATAAGGTGAACCTCGTACTCAGCGTCTTCGTTTCCCAGCATGCGCAGTAAGGGACGAAGACTCGAGGTACGAGATTGCTCTGTCCCCTAAGGGTTGACAGAGCTGAACAACGTCTGCGCATGTGCTCAGACAGGAGAGGTCTGGGATCTAAACTAGTATCGTTTGCAAAAGGACTTTCAAAACATCCTCCCATTTTGGCGATTTTTAAGGTGGATTCTGAATATTTGAGGTTCTATTTAAAGTAAAGGTAGATTATTATCCATTCAAAATATTTCCCCGATTCTGATTGGCTAAAAACTCTCGCATAATTCATCATAACGAGTTACTGATGACCAAATTTAGAAGAATTTTGTGTTTAACGAGGAAATGACGCAAAAAATGTAGCCTTCTTGCAGGTTAATGCACCGTTAACCGAGAAGACCTGGGGACGAGGTTGAGCTGTTTTGGTTGTGAAAACAAAACATGGTGGACATTTCACTGTTTTCAAGAGTAAGAACTAGGCGAAATTATAGCTAAAAACATGGCAAGAACAGCAAGAACACAACTCGAAGGGCGACATCTGCTATTTGGAGAATACTTGCGGAGCTGAACAACCCTAAACGTGCACTATCGAAGGTGAACTTAACATCGATGGAGGTAAGCACGTTTTAGCTTTGTTTTTAAACTAACAATTATTTTGAATGAATAATGAAATAATTATTGAATTCGGCTTCCGTATCATATGAAGAATTATGGAGACCTCGGAGGGTGTTATCCGTCGAGGCCGTACACCCTCCTAAAACTACATAAGTCTTCACAAGATACTCAGCCTCATTCATTAATTGTTAATTATTTTTTTCTAAGCTTGCGAGCGGGCGGAATCCTCCAAATCCTGATCCAGATCCTCTACGATCTTGCCCGCTAACCCGGGCGGAATCGTTGGCAGCTTTATTCACAAGTTTGTTTGTTGTTTGTGAATGAGCAAAACCAGTGATTTTTAACAATTTTTCTTTTAATACTTGCGCTATTATTCGCATTAGCTAGGGAAAAGTGAATTTTGTTATTCAGACAAAACATCTGAAAGGAGAATCAAGCAAGTGAGCCAGGAAAACCGCTAAAGTAAAACAAAATAGGCGACTGGTGATGTCGCTTCGCTGTAAGTACTGCAATCTTGCTCTTATGCACCGGTTATTCGACATTTTTCCTCTGTGTGTAGGTTTGTTTTCCATTTTTGCTGTCTGAATCTAAATTCTGCCGTTTTTCATTGAATTTTGCCTCGCTAGTTTTCTACTTTTCAGAAAAAGTTGTTGTCAACGATTGCATATAGCTTTCAATCTTGAATAAACAATACGAACAACTTTTCCAGCAGTCAGTTATCGCCGTTTTTATTTGTTTGTTTATATAATTGTTTAGTTACCCACATCGCCTTCTTTTATTCGAATTCACTTCAAAACCCCAAGATTGGTATGTGCAATTAGCTCTTTTATAAAGCCTTTGTGCAGTTTTTATCCCGCTCGATTGAATTAATCTTAAAGTAAATATTCAGCCGAAGAAAACCTTTGCTGTATTTTCTCTCCTGTGGCTTTTAAGTTCGTCAATTCTTTTATCCTTGTTTGACACTCAGATGATGAATTGTCTAGCAAGCTTAAAAACTTTTCTTTATTCTTAAAGAGAGCAGTAAGTTCCATAATATAAGAAAATTACCAAGCTAAAAATCATGATATTTTGTTTTGGTTTGCAATCGATCGCGCGCTTCATCAACACGAACGCGTCCTACTTTAACACACATAAGTTGGAGAGTGAAGGAAAATTTTCCCGAAACTTTTAAATTTTAGTTGGAGAAAAATAAAAATGTTATTCACCGGCCTAGGTCGGTCCGTATTGGGAGAAACTGTGCCCTCGGCCTACGGCCTCGGGCGGTACCAAAGACCTCGGGCACAGTTTCTCTCAATACGGACCTCCCAGCCGGTGAATAACATATATTTATTTCATACTTCATTCAATTCTCGTTTATTCCTCGCGAAGCGCCGAGCCGTGAGGTTTATAATCTCGACGCACGAAGCGCGCGTGTATCACACGAGCATCGCAAGGCCAGCGTGATTTTCTCTTGGCTATTCACACTTTTAATAAGTCTGGGCGCCATCTTGAATTTTTAATTTATGACGTCATCCGCGGAAAGACTTCAGCCGCCATTTTTGAGTTTTGACTCGCGTGACAGTACCATGTCAGGACGAGGAGGCAAAGCCAGACCATTATGAATAGCTTTATTCCATTCTTTTTCTGTATAAACATTAACAAATACCAGCGAATCCTTTTCCCAGGCTAAAGTAATCGCAGTTGCGCGGCTCGTCTTTGCAAGTCATACGGGGATATATTCGATAACAAACGCAACACTAAGAAATGTGAAATAAGATTCCAAGCGATCAGCATGTATTAAAAGGTAGCACGGCTGTAGCAAATTAAAAGGGAGGAGTACTCGACCGTAAAGATGTGTAACTTAGTCTTTTTGTGTGTGGGGGTTCCAATTCGTACCGCTACATCCATCTCTCAAATATTGCTTTTTTCCTAGGGGCAGAAACATACAATCGTCTGTTCTTTTCAACTTAGGGATGATGACTTCGGAAGTATTGTATTGTACTGTCTTTTAATAGTGGTAGGTAGTTTTTGAAAACGTGCAGCCTCCCCTCGATCGGTGTTTAAATGCTCTTTACACAAGCCATACCTTATCATTAAGATCCAAAATAAGACAAAGTTAAACAGGACTGTGATTCGAGGGAAACCAAATATGGTAAACACCACATTTTCACTTTTCGGGCCTTCTTTTAGCAAAATCCAAACAATTCTGATCTGATCCGTGAGATGCAGTACTTTGCTGTCTGCTTTCGTCGCTGCCACTTCTTGGCTCCCATATGTGAACAGATTTAGAATACTAAATCAACTGGAAAAGACCGGAAAAATGTAGAGATTTCTCTCTGACTGTGAGCTGCCTCCAATGAAATGCAGGGCCACTTAATGTTGCCCTGGGCAACTAAGAATTCAAGGAAACTGGCCTGGCTGGCCACCAAGCACTGGAGTTAAGTGTCAGCCGTCATATTACTCTTCAAATAATCATGTAAATAATTTATAGTATCAAGGGATAGACAAACCTATGGAATGTAGCCTGAGAAAACAGCCCACATTTTGCAATGCCACCACTGCTTTTCTCCCCAAAATTACATCTAAGGAATGAGCACAGAAATTGCATACTGATGACATATCACTTCTCATGATCCATCCTGGGTAGTGCTTTTGATTGGTTGAAGCAAATTTCCATCAGTGCACCACCCATCAGAAGCACTTCCCAGACCTTGGTTGTGACATGTAATCAGTATGGAATTTCTCCACTCAATCCTCAGACATCATTTTGAAGGGAAACAAGTGGCGGTGTTGTGAAAAGTAAGCTGTTTTATCAAGCTAAGAAAAACTTGTTATTAAATGATTTATGTCACTGCTATTTGAATGAATTACCTGCATAAAAGGCTGATGGAGGCAAGGGATCGGTTCTGGTCGGGACACTTGTATGATGGGATACCCCACCAGGCTGGGGGTGCTGGTAGGGGTATGGTATATACTGCCCTTGAATCTGCTGAGCAGCTTGGCCTGGGGATTGAAAGGAAGATTGCATAAAGTGACCAGGAGGTGCTTGACCATGCGGCTGAACTTGTGGCTGTTGATTAGGCATTACATAGCCTGCCACTTGATACTGTGTTTGATGCCAATTTTCTCTTTGCTGCAGGTAATAAGGTTCGATTTGCTGTGGTGTGGCTGCTCTTGGTTGTGGACGGATAATGTTTCCTTGGTAGCTCTTTGGAGCAGGAGAAGGCACACGGCCGATAACTGCAGGGGATTCTACAGGCGAAGTTAGACCTTCAGCATCAGGGTTTACGGCAGCCACATCTGTTAAGTCATCTGGAGGCTGCACTTTTGAGGAGCCTGTCAATGAATTGGAATGATGAAATTCCCTTTTTCCATCAGCCTTTTTAAATCCCATTTTCTTCTTTTTCTCCAGAGAATAATAAAATAAAATAAATAGTCATTTCAATATAGAGTTGTGCTCACAACCTTTAAGTACATGTACACAGAAAATAACAGTACTCAAGTCTAAGAGATTTCCAGTTCAAGCTAACATAAATTAACCCATTCACCCCTGAACCACCCCTAACCCTGCATGCAGATTAAAGTCCCTTTTACTGCTTGTGACGTCCCCCGTTTTAAACCTCAAGGACAACTTTGTCAGCAGGATGAAGAGATCGTTTAATCCATACTAGAATGAGCACCATTCAGTCAAGAACGCCAGAGAAAAAGGCTAAAAAAAAAAATAATAATAATAATAAAAAAACATGTAACATTGACCCAAAAATTCCAGCTTTTAGAAGTCAGATCAGCTCAGCCATTCTTCTCCCTGGCTTTGCCAGGAATAACGGTCTGTCTTTGATTCAAATTCAGGAATTTTTTGAACACCCTAACTTTAGTTTCTAGTATGCAAATTCAAGTAAATCAGTTTTGGTCCTCAACCAATGGAAATTTTATTCACTGGGTTCACTCAAGCATGAAGCTTGGAGTTGTTCTTATTGAATTCATCTCATATGGATTAAAGCTTCTGAATCAACTAGGCCAGTGTGAAATAAGGCCTCTATCACGCCAGTTCTTTTGTTGGGTCTATTCACTGGAGTTGTTCATAATAATTCAGCTGATGTGGAGAACAGTATCTGAATCAATTCAGTCAATGTGAAATAGGGCATTTGGACTGGGTTTCAGAGTCTATGTATGCCACGTTAGTTCTTTGTCCGCAAATTAATGTAGGTGCTGGTTGTAGAATGAAAAATAAAAGCTGAATGCAGTATCAAGAATTCCAAGTTCATTCTACAGCCAGAAAGAGCATCTATCTGCAGGTATATCCAGAATAAAAAAATTCTAACTTGTATTGTTTTCAATTGGAGTGCACAATTACTCTTCAAATAATCACGTACATAATTTATAGTATTAAGGGATAGACAAACCCACTGAATGTAGCCTGAGAAAACAGCCCACATTTTGCAATGCCACCACTGCTTTTCTCCCCAAGATTACATCTAAGGAATGAACACAGAAATTGCATACTGATGACATATCACTTCTCATGATCCATCCTGGGTAGTGCTTTTTATTGGTTGAAGCAAATTTCCATCAGTGCACGACCCATCAGAAGCACTTCCCAGATCTTGGTTGTGACACGTAATCAGTATGGAATTTCTCCACTCAATCCTCAGACATCATTTTGAAGGGAAACAAGTGGACAAACGTTTGGATGATAAAAAGAGATAAAAAAAAAATTTACTAAAGCGTTTCAGTCACAAGACCTTCATCAGCATCAAATAATAGTACTTTAAACAAGACTTATATACTTGGTACAACAATTATTACTAAATTAACACTAAATATAGGGGCGTAGCCAGGAAATTTTCAGATGTAAGCACTCGTTTCCACCTCCGTTGCGTGCGTTTTAGCCTGCCAAAAAACATCAGTTTCTCCTCGCTGTTCGCCGCTGGGGACGTTTCGCGCGAAATGTCTCCAGTGGCGAAGAGCGAGGAGAAACGGATGTTTTCTCAGGCTAAGTGCGGTTTTAGTAGAATGATCGCTTGCGAAGTGATCTGAATACACCCTCAATGTAATAAATCCGGAATTCTGAATCCGAAATATTAATGAATCCTCTATACTAGTGTAACCGTAGCGCTCACGCGAACAGTCTGGTGGTATCTCAGAATTTTATTTGCAAATGAGTGATTCTTTTGCCGCTATTTACCACATTATTTTTGACCGACAAAGGCAAGGACCCCACGTTTATGTAATCGTACCCTACTTCGACTAGTGTGAAGACAGGCCGAAGTGAACACAATGCATTTACGCTTTATACCATCTAGCCTAGCTATTTGCGCCTCTCTAAATTCTATGTTTCTCCAAATATATCAATGAAGATTCGGTCCACCAATGAATAACGTCTCTTTTCTGGATGCCGACATCCGGGTGTAAAACTAAAATTAAACAGTCCGTTATCCTTTGCTATTTTTCGTTATTCACTTTCGTGTCTTACTTTATTATTATTATTATTATTATTATTATTATTATTATTATTATTTTCACCCTCGGCTTTTTCAGGTACACACGTGCGTACCGTGCGTACAGGTAGCTGCCCTTGAAATGTACAAGTTGAACAGAAAACAAAGGATAATAGTAAACAAAGGTTACGAAGCGGATTAAAATACAATATAGAAGTTTAAATCAAAAGATACTAATGAGCTTAGAGTAAACAATGACATAATAAAGCTGGCAAAGCGCAATAGGTTTCCAATTCATGGCCCTGAATATTCATATAGGTAAACACTACAACACAATCCTGAAGTAGAGCCTTTAAACCAGACGTAATATAACCCCCACCAAAGGCCTATAAGTAGCAAAACCAGCACAAAAACAACAGGATCCCTGAAAAGGGCCCCTAAGCGCTCCGACAGCAATCGGCTATGACTATCAATTCAGTAAAAAACTGAAAGAATCAAATATTGTTTAAAGCTGTTTAAAAAGATGTTTACAAGGACTCCACCTAGCAGGACAAATTCATGGAGTTTTATGTATAGTGAATGCGATTTTTTGAGTGAAATTCTTGTCGTTTATTTAATCCAAAAGGCGCAAGAGAAAATAATTGCGCGCTCCAGTATGCTTCTTTGGTGATCAGCAGTTTGTCTATATCATGATTTGAGCTAGTACGGATTTGGTCTATGCATTGAAAAGTAAAGTCAGAGAAAGTGTGTGGTGTTTTATTAAAGTGTGTGGCAACTTCGCAAGTTTTCTTGTTGGTTTTCATGGATGACTTGTGGTTCCTGAATCTTACTTTGAATTTAGCAGTAGTAGAACCGAGATTCTGGAGATTTTTTATTTTATTTTATTTTATTTTTTTCCAATACAACTTTATTGAACATACACACGTACAGTTGACATTCACAAAAGACAATCTGCAACAAAACGAAAACTACAACATGGAGCTGACAAAAAAGAAACCTGACACAATAAAAACATTAGTGGTAACTAAAATTAAATGGGAGCGGAATCAGTTAAGTAAGCAGAATTTCATACCGTATTTAAAAGAGACGAAAAAACAGACCATTTTGTTCTGAACTCTTTTTCGCGACCAGTCGTACAAGAAATATATTTTTCTAGACTAATTTTATCACGAGCTAGGGAAACAAATTCATTAAAGATGTAAAATTTACCGTTAAGAGCTTTCGCGTAAAGAAAATACTTTCCTATAATGACTAAATGATTGAGGGCTGAACAGAATGTAGAATTGTTATTAATAATGCCATCGAAAAACCTGTCTCCTTTTTCTAGAACTGTTTAGCCCTCTTACATTCAGTGTCAAAAGCTTATGTGACAAATTTATTGCTCAATTATAAAATGCCGGAAATAGTTTTCCTTGGCTGTGTGGCACAATCCATAGACAAAAGTATAAATTTATATGGCCTGGATCGCTTTCCCCTTTAGGGAAGGGAAGCAAAATTGACTGCGCAAAAATTAAGACGAAACAAAAAAGAAAACAAAAACACGAAACGTACGAACACAAACTCCATGACTTACCACTGAATTTGAGCGGCGTTGACTGACTGCGCATCGAGCTAATTTGGTTTGTAAAGCAAAAGCACACTACTAGCCCCTAAAATATGGCCGTGAATAATAACATAAAAGTTCTGAGCTAATTTATACGTCCATTAAATGTCCGTAGAGAGGGAAAGCAATTGTCTCTGGGCCGCGGTAAAGCGACCAATCTATAATTAGCCTTTCTACCTTGAAAAATGCAGTACGCTTTTCTTGCTTGGCGGCTTTTAGAACTGGGTACAACTTTTTCCTCATTTCTTCTACCTCCTTTGGAAAGTCGTCGGAAGTTCCAAGATTGCGGCCTTTCGTAAGGTTTTTGATGAAAGACTTAATAAATTCTTTGTCGTGGAAGCTGGAAAGCTTGACAATAATCGGTCGTGGCTTGGAATTCGGAGTGCCAGACGATATACTCGACGAGCTGATACCCTGTGCACACTATCGAACTGAATACTTTCCTCGTCTTCTTTAGGGATCTTTAAGGCGGCACGTAAAAATTTCGTCAATAAATCTTCTATGTCTTCGTTCGATTCATGCTCGCGTTCTTTTATTCCATAGAATTTCAAATTATCTCTGCGGCTGTGACACTCTAATTTAATATGACGGCGCTGCAATTCGGCGAGTTCACGTTGGACGCGTTGAAGTGAAGCTTCAGTGGTCTTCTGTTGTTCAGCGATGTTATCTTGTAAACCTTGCATTTCTTTTATCTCAGTTTGAGAACTTCCGAGGCTTTCTTGCATGCTTTTGTGTTCATCTTCGAGCAATTTAACTCGGCTCTTGTAGGTTTCAAATTCGTCTGTTAACTTTGATAGTCTTTCAAGCTTCTCGTCAATTTCAGCGAGACGAGACGAGTCATTACTGACGTCATTGTTTACATTTTTTCTCATTAGCATACGACTTAACTCATGGAAGGCGTGGCCGTATACATGAACTAAACGCAAAAATTGAAAGAGCTGATTAAGTTGAGAAATTTGGGCCATTTTTGAGCTCTTTGCATGCGAAATTGAAGGAAATATCAGCCATCAAAAACTGTGAAATTGCTGTGTATAAAAAAGTTAATGAGCCATACATTTTCCGTAAAATTTCGAGTTTTTAGAAGAGAATTTTTCCAAAACCATTCGGTGTATTGGGCTCAAATTTTCAGAGATAGCTGAAACTGTTATGCCCCTTCAATATTGAGAGTTTTTATGTTATTAGCATCATCAGATAGTGATAAGCATATGTTAATAAGGCAAAAAGTTTAAACAAAGATTCGCGTATAGAACGGCGAACTTCGTCGAACTTCACATGTGCCGAACCTAATGCATAAATTATTTTAACGTATTTTTTAAGTCGGGCAAGCATTGAAAAGCATTAGGTCACCAAAAGGCAATTCTGAGAGAAGTTGAGATTGGAGCACTGCCAAATGAATACAGACAAACCTGTTTTAAGTGGTAACCATTGTGGAATGGCCAACAGACCGCTTATTACAAGTTTGGCAATTAATGTGCAGTATCCAAAACCTGACAAATTGACCTCAAATTTTTTCTACCTCTTCTTGTGCCAAAAGGAATAGAGTAAAAGACCGCCGAATGCCATACACAGTGTATCTATTTCTCTTGTATGTTGACAAAGTGACTGTGGTAAAAACAATAAAAAAACAACTTGTTGGGATCACGGAAAAGTTGACCGCAACCGCTTAAAAGAGGTGGCCGCTTAATACCGGTCAGTTTTACAGAAATTATGTGAAATTACTTTTGGCACTTAAGAAAGTGACTGCTAAATACAGGGTAACCACTTTTTACAGGTCCACTTGATACAGGTTTGACTGTGGAATGAATGGAGTGAGAAGTAGGTGTTAATGTTGGCTTAGTGGAGGGGTAGGTGGGCAGTTTCCCAGAAATGCATAATGATCTGAATGAATTACAATGTACCTTTGACTACTCCACCCTCCATAAGTTGCAGTCCTCCGAACTGCTTTGTATAACACTCTATCTGCTCTCTGCTCCATAAGCTATCTTCATATTCCTCTTCAATACTACTTATCCTGTGTGCAAAGTATGCAATTCGTGAGACCCTGAATTGAAACTGAATTTAATGAAAATAAGTTCAGGTGTGCTAAAACATTTTACTTCTTGGGGTACATTTGCATGTATGAAATTAGAGATTATTTAGGCTTTCTCAACAAATTCCCAGGGCTCAAAATATTGACCAGTCAATCAATGGCCAGAATGGTGTCTTGACCAGCCAAAAGCTCCATATTAGTCGCTGGTGATGTTGTCTGGTCATGCAGACTATTCTTGAAAAACAAAAGCTACATCCTCAACTGTAAATCTTACATTTTGTCTCATGGTAAAAATACAATCACCTTTGATTATTATTTTTTTATTATTATTTTCGACTGGACAGAAAACCAGACTTGACCAAGCAAAAATTTCTTTTGCGGGTCATTGTGCCTGGCCAACGTCCGAAAATTACTTTGAGCCCTGAGTCCCTTGCAAATCCTTTCATGGTTAAATTTCAAAGTGCCTAAAACTTATACATTTTTGATTGTTCAAATGAGTACATTGTAGGTTTTTTCTAATGTCACAAATAAGTGACATGACTTTATAAGGGCATGGTTGAACAGTGGGATTTTTTTAAGGCTGTATGTATTACATTGTATCATTTGCTAGTGCATATGCTTTTTTTCTGTTCTTGAGTGAACAGGAGCACAGTGTAGAGGTTATAAACATATCAAGGGTAACAAAGAATAATTTGTATCTTCCATGCATAGTTGAAAGACAGGGGTCATTTTGCGATAAATCACTATCCAGTAGATGAGTATTAGGGTACACTAGGTAGAGATTTATCCAGTGGATAGCATTTTCTACCATTGGAAACAACTCAGCCCTGGTCAGAAGTAACCCCAGGGGTTAAACTACTGTGTCGCCTAGTTTCAAACCTTGGCAGATCCCCCTCTATTCCTTCAGGCTCTGGTGAACTGCTGCTATTCACATCTTCATCACTGGAGCTGTGCTCTTCATCTACCTCATCATAGTTGATTGATGGGTTTTCACCTTCCCTCCAAGATCCTACAGTAAAATCACATTTTTAGCCAGCACTGTTATATGCCCTGAACAAAAAAAGACCAGTTGGTGTAAGTTTTGCAAGTGGATTATTCCAGAAAAAAAAAACACTATCCTGACAGATCACAAGCATAAATTCTCATCTGATAGAGGGTTGATGCTCATTGGTCATTGGCCAAAGCAAAAAATGCCATTATTATGCGAACAGAGAAAAGGAAAATATAGACACAGTTTTGTCTAGGCGATTTTAAAAAACTAGTTTCGTCTGAAGATGTCATAAGACAAAACTAGTTTTGTAAAATTGTATAGATAGATATATAGTGTGTTGAAAGTGAATCGATCTGCATTAGATTTTTTTTCTCTGTTAACATAATATTTAGTAACACTTTCTTGGCTTCAACAAACAAAATCTCGAAGAAAAAAGCCATAATATTCTTTAAATTCCCATTTGGGTGGTGCTTCATGAAAACCCACCTTGTGCAGTACATGTATATTTGATTCTTTGCACAATTTGCACATGCAGTGCATCAGCTTCTTATGAATTTGCATACACTGCATGTGTAGTTCATGCAACAAACAAAACATAATGCAAAGTCAGGTTCACATGAAGCACCAACCAAACCGCAGTTTAAAGGAGATTATGGTGTTTTCCGCTTTGGCCCAATTGAAAGAAAAAATGAAAAAAGTTCACCCAGAAAGGCAGCATTTGGGGGGTCTTTTTAGAAGCAGGGCTAAAAAAATCTTGCCATCAAATGGAAGCAGGTGGAGTTCTTTCTGGAATAATCCAATGTCGACTTGCATAGACACATAATCAGCAACAAAGTTGTTGAGACATTGTACTCAAATAGGGTAACTTCAGAGAACAAAACAATCCACACTCCTCCGCTTCCCCTCACTTCAAAGTTGGGGTGTTTGTTGTTTTCTACAGGTAGCTCGAAAAGCGGCGAAACATTGCATGGAGGGGATGATGGATGGATGGAGGGTGGAGGGAAAGCTTTATTTCCCCCTTTTGAAGTCGGTAAAATGTCAAAAATTCAAGTTCCCAGTGCATGCTCAAGAACCTTACTTTCTTCTCCAGGTTCAGCTGTAGGATTGTAGGCCCATGGAGTTGGTTGGCTAGCTGGTGGATGCGCACCCCAAGTTGGTTGGCCTGCACTACGAACTTGCTCCACTGATAAGAGATCAAAACAGTTTTTTTTCAACTGATTTAAATAATTATCCAATTCGCCAGGTCGCCAGTGGCAACTTAAAATGAAGCTGGGCAATGAAAAATTGTAGTCGAATCACCCGATGGGCGACTACGATAAAAAAATATATTAATTCGAATTCAGCCCAATGTAAGCTTATATTAGGATTGCAAGTACGAATTTAAAATAAAAATACAATGACAAGTTGTTTAGTTGGACTACCTTTCTTTCATTGTCCTGAATCTATTATTTCTCCAAGTCCTATGAACGTTTTACAGTTTTAAATGGAAAAGGATTAAACCCTAAACAATTGTGATCTGATCCGTGAGATGCAATACTTTGCTGTCTGCTTTCGTCACTGCCGCTTCTTGGCCCCCACATGTGAACAGGTTTGGAATACTAAATCAACTTGAAAAGACCGGAAAAATGTAGAGATTTCTCTCTGACTGTGAGCTGCCTCCAACGAAATCCAGGGCCATTTAATGTTGACCTGGGCGACTAAGAATTCAAGGAAACTGGCCTGGCTGGCCACCAAGCACTGGCGTTAAATGTCAGCCCTGATATTACTCTTCAAATAATCATGTAAATAATTTATAGTATCAAGGGATAGACAAACCTACAGAATGTAGCCTGAGAAAACAGCCCACATTTTGCAATGCCACCACTGCTTTTCTCCCCAAAATTACATCTAAGGAATGAGCACAGAAATTGCATACTGATGACATATCACTTCTCATGATCCATCCTGGGTAGTGCTTTTGATTGGTTGAAGCAAATTTCCATCAGTGCACCACCCATCAGAAGCACTTCCCAGATCTTGGTTGTGACACGTAATCAGTATGGAATTTCTCCACTCAATCCTCAGACATCATTTTGAAGGGAAACAAGTGGCGGTGTTGTGAAAAGTAAGCTGTTTTATCAGGCTAAGAAAAACCTGTTATTAATTGATTTATGTCACTGCTATTTGAACGAATTACCTGTATAAAAGGCTGATGGAGGCAAGGGATCGGTTTTAGTCAGGACACTTGTATAATGGGATCTTGCAACAACCTCATTACTAAACACAAGTACCCTATCAGGCTCGGGGTGCTGGTAGGGGTATGGTATATACTGCCCTTGAATCTGCTGAGTAGCTTGGCCTGGGGATTGAAAGGAAGATTGCATAAAGTGACCAGGAGGTGCTTGACCATGCGGCTGAACTTGTGGCTGTTGATTAGGCATTACATAGCCTGCCACTTGATACTGTGTTTGATGCCAATTTTCTCTTTGCTGCAGGTAATAAGGTTCGATTTGCTGTGGTGTGGCTGCTCTTGGTTGTGGACGGATAATGTTTCCTTGGTAGCTCTTTGGAGCAGGAGAAGGCACACGGCCGATAACTGCAGGGGATTCTACAGGCGAAGTTAGGCCTTCAGCATCAGGGTTTACGGCAGCCACATCTGCTAAGTCATCTGGAGGGTGCACTTGTGAAGAACCTGTCAATGAATTGGAATGATGAAATTCCCTTTTTCCATCAGCCTTTTTAAATCCCATTTTCTTCTTTTTCTCCAAAGAATAATAAAATAAAATGAATAGTCATTTCAATATAGAGTTGTGCTCACAACCTTTAAGTACATGTACACAGAAAATAACAGTGCTCAACCCATTCACCCGTGAGCCACCCCTAACCCTGCATGCAGATTAAAGTCTTTTTTACTGCTAGAATGAAGAGATCGTTCAATCCATACCAAAATGAGCACCATTCAGTCAAGGACGCCAGAGAAAAAGGTAAAAACATGTAACATTGACCCAAAAATTCCAGCTTTTAGAAGTCAGATCAGCTCAGCCATTCTTCCCCCTGGCTTTGCCAGGAATAATGGTCTGTCTTTGATTCAAATTCAGGAATTTTTTGAACACCCTAACTTTAGTTTCCAGTATGCAAATTCAAGTAAAACAGTTTTGGTCCTCAACCAATGGAAATTTTATTCACTGGGTTCACTCAAGCATGAAGCTTGGAGTTGTTCTCATTGAATTCATCTCATATGGATTAAAGCTTCTGAATCAACTAGGCCAGTGTGAAATAAGGCCTCTATCACGCCAGTTCTTTTGTTGGGTCTATTCACTGGAGTTGTTCATAATAATTCAGCTGATGTGGAGAACAGTATCTGAATCAATTCAGTCAATGTGAAATAGGGCATTTGGACTGGGTTTCAGAGTCTATGTATGCCACGTTAGTTCTTTGTCCGCAAATTAATGCAGGCGCTGGTTGTAGAATGAAAAATAAAAGCTGAGTGCAGTATCAAAAATTCCAAGTTCATTCTACAGCCAGAAAGAGCATCTATCTGCAGGTATATCCAGAATAAAAAAATTCTAACTTTTATTGTTTTCAATTGGAGTGCACAATTCAGTTAAATTCTATTTAGTCTACGACAGAATTCACGGACAATAATACAATATTACACGGAAGCATAAAAGTATAAGTTCCAGTAAGGCTAGGTAAGCGTACACATGTAAGTAATTACAAGGCATTCATGATAAAGATTTAGGTAATAATCAGAATACTGTAATCTTTCAAAGGAAAGATGACACATATAAATAAGTCGATATAATGTTGAAGTGATAATGTTAAAATTCATAAGATGGTCACTAAGAGAAAACATGAATGCCAATTAATATTGACACAGTGCAAATAAGCTTCCAGACATCATCCCCGTGGGACGCTGTGAGAGCGTATATTTGGTTGTGGTTGTACTAAACCTATGATTCGTTTAACATGCCTTATTGCAGCTAAACAACTGTCATCATGTCCCACCAGAGAAAATACATCCTTTACTCTACATCTTCGCTGAACCACATAGCTTATACAGTATTTTCCAATCCACAACAAAAATCCTGTCACTTCATGACAATGTTTTGAAATGCACATCTTCAACACAGACTTGCTCTCAGCCAAATTGAAACATAGGACACCAGTGCTTACAGCCCGGACAGTAAGGTTTATCTCAGCTCCACTGATACTGACTGGCATAATATGTCTTTTCACACCCATCACATTGTACAGTGTATTCTGGTTACTAACATAGGCAGATAAAGTTCCTGAAGTCCAGTATTCACAAGGATTTATAACAGAGTAACACACTGCATAAACTGCTATAGCGCAGTACTGTTTACAGGAACATTGGTAACTATTAACATTTGATATACTACAATATTAAACACTGCTTGAAAAAAGATCAACTTCAAAGTTGGCAATATATACACCTTTAAGCTCATATATATCATCATTCCTATATATCAGCATGGAGCAGGAATTGTTTTTGTAGCATCTACATAAACTGAAGGTCCTGGATTCTTCTCGATATCAGTACAAAGCTTAATTGGCCAAAATTAACCCGGTGATTCAAACTCTTGTAAGCACTATATAACATGGATAATTGCATGTACAGAGGGGTAAATACTTACTTAAAACCCTATTTGGATATCTCATCCCACCTTAATCGCCCCTGCTTTGATGCTGAGACGACAGATACATCTCCCTCGTTTGCGAACTAATTTTGGAGTTGCCCTTCAAGTAAAAACCTCACACTCTTACAGTTACTTCTGTGCCTGTTTAAGTCGAAACCATGTGTATTTTTAACGTAACAATGAATTTTAGACGACAATGTGAATGATGTATTTTCCCGAATATCCTTCCATACAAAACTCTCACTTTCTGTGTTTTCTGTAACAGAGATTTTAATTTCTTCATCGGTAGTCTGCTAAGTGCACGACCGCGTCGAGAGAAATGACTAACTTTATTTAAACCAACGGAATTGTACAAAGCTCTGTTTTTAATAAATTTCCCGCGACGAGGTCTCAATTCAACTTCTTTTATTTCCTCTACAACACAATTTTGCTTCTGTACAATTGAGTCATTACATTTTCCGGTCACCTCACTGCCATCAAAACACTCTAATTCTGAAACAAAACTTGCTAATAATGCAAAATCCCGACGCCGAGCATCGTACATGTACCGCATTACAACATACATAATTATTTGGGCCTGGCCCAAATAGAGTAATCGAGATGGCTTGTTTTGACGCAAAGTTGCAGTAGGCATGCATTACGTGCTAACGTAAAAACAGGAAAGTAAACAAGCGAAAGCGAGGCGAGTGTCTGCCATGCGAACGTCTTGTACAAAGTAAGAGGGATGTGGGAAAGAAAGCTCTGCTAGCACGGCACTTTATCGCACTTTTATGATCACAAAAGTTAATCTGAATCTTCAGTATTTTTACCTTATCGAAATTTGGAAGTCTGAAGTCCAGGGATGAAATCTATCAAAAATATTTGGGATACTAACGTCGGGTTTTGGTCACAACAAGCCTTTGAGCGATTTTGTTCTGAGATGTCGAGAGCGTAGGAAGATATTGCTCAAAAATTTTGTGACTTGCAGCCTAGTAAGGTTAAAAGAAAGAGAACAAATACATTTAGGAATTGGTGAATAAACTTAAAAGGAATTGGCTTATGCTTGATCGGTGCTAAAGAAGCTTTTAAATAGTCTCACGTGCGTGTTTGCGCTTGAGTGTAAAAGTAACGTTTGTGGGTAAAGTGGCGGAGATAAGATTTATGATTCAAATTGGGGAAAATGCTGGACAACAATGTGTTGCAATGAGTCTGTGCGCTTTAATTTACGGTAAGATAAGATGGATTACTTCAGTTGATGGTATGATTCAAATAATGATTGTTGGTAATCAGTTATATTCTAGTCTGTCACTGCTTGCAAGACAATCTATGTTAATGTTAACAGAATTGCCAGGAATGGTTACAGTGTTTGAGCGATCTTCCAGCTTGAATACAATGAAAGTAACACTTGTAACATACATGGTGATGCCAGAATTCAGGGGTATCACTACTGTATATGCCACTGGGTACAGCATTTGCACTCTTTTCTCTGAACTACAACTCATTCATAACGGTGGAATTATTGGTGTTGGTATCTACAGCATTGAGGGTGGGGGGTATAAAGTATTTGATTCTCATGCTAGAGATATGTATGGTAACAGTCATAGTGAAGGGACATGTGTATTGTTGGAAGTACCATCCATACATAAATCAGAGATATTATGCCAGTTGATCTTCCTCAAAGTGTCAGTATCAGCGGAGCTGAAATAAACCTTACTGTCCGGGCTGTAAGCACTGGTGTCCTATGTTGCAATTTGGCTGAGAGCAAGTCTGTGTTGAAGATGTGCATTCCAAAACATTGTCGTGAAGTGACAGGATTTTTGTTGTGGATTGGAAAATACTGTATAAGCTATGTGGTTCAGCAAAGAAGTAGAGTAAAGGATTTATTTTCTCTGCTGGGATATGATAACCGGTGTTTAGCTGCATCAAGAACGCTCCTATAGCATTGAGTGTCACTTGCTTGAATCCCATGCGGCTTGAGATAAATTTTGTTCTCAAAGGCACTGGTGCTGTTATGCTACTTTTTTGTTTTGAATACAAAACGAGTGTTATATGTCATAAAGTAAATACTCAAAACGTAAAAATTGAAAGGAGAGACAGGCCGCACATCTTAGCTTCACACCGGTGAGAAATCTTTTGAAAACCTTTTACATATTGATATTGCTCCAATGAGGAGAACTCTTTCAGGGATTTTACACTCAAAAAATTGAACGATGATTTTAATCAGTATAAAAATATTTAGTATATACACACTCAGTGATCTTGTTAATTCAAGCAATCTGATTGGTTAGCTATCTCGGACTATGACGTTATATTCACCGTGCTAGGCGGTGAATATAAAGCCGAACGAAATCGCTGTAGGGAACTGGGTGTTTTGCCAAAGTAGCACAAAATTTTATAGTAAAGCCTTTTTGAAAATACACCAATATCCAAGTGCTGATGACTTTGAAGGTAAGAAAAGACTTCATGGTGTTTAAACAGCGTGACTTATTGTGAAGTGGTTTACTGTAGGTGAATTTTTGTACACTCGAAGCTATGTTTACCACTACAGAGGAAACCGAGGTCGCTTTGTCACTGTTTTGTGATTTCGGGATTTTCTCGCAATACCAATTTCGCCTATAAATAGAAGTTAATTTATGGAGAAAAGAGGAAGGCAAATATTTTCGAAAATTGTATGTGCCAGCAAGTTAACAAGGCAAAGAACATTGGCGATGAACAACGCTCACCTTGGTCGTAGGCGCTGTTGACAGCATTTGTAAGAAGCAACAAAGAAAACTTTCTCATTCACAGTGAGTTGGCAGAAACAAATAAAGCTCTACTTTTCTTCTCAGAATTGGGTAGTAATTTAAATTGTCGGCGTTTTCTTTTAGACCGTTGATGCTAAAGCTTACAAAACTCGATACAAAAAGATTAAAACTATCATTTGCCATGTTTGAAGATACTGTAAAGATCTAACTTTTGCGCATCCACCGTTTACGGCTTCGTCTTCACCCATGAATTCACCTGTCAATCAAACTAATCGTTTTTTAATGGTTTCCTTTCTGATTCTGTTGAGATCAATTCGTGTGAATATACTAAAACAATTATTCACCTCAGGCTCAGTTTACTTAATA